GATCGTTCACTGTAGCGGGGTCCGGGAGCGGGATGACAAACCACGGCGCTGCCCCTGGTTCCTCGCTCAGCCAGTGAGCAGGAACCGGTCTGTATGTGGGATCCGAACCCTCAGTGGGAGCGCCTCCGCGCTTCCCAAGCGGCGCACTAGCGCATGCGCCACCGGGCCGACCCATCAACATCTTTTTGATTCTTAATTCTCTGCTCTATTCCTCTCGAGTTCATACTGTCTAAGATGCTGTAGTACCACTCGTAGATAAAGAATGTTTCCTATGTTTACATAGAATGCTATATTCTGGTGTGACTAAAGTGAATGACTAAATCATTTCAATTTTATATTAAACACTTCATAAAACCAAAACACTTAATAAGGCCAATTTTCAAGCTTTCTTTATGGGTTTTCTGAATAAGAAATTTGAAAAAAGATGGACATAGCATATGGAATTAAAGGAAGAGAAGGAAGAGAAAGCACTGGCTCCCCAGAATACAGTAATGTTTGGTAGAATTAGTTTTTGACCTAATCCGCAAAAATATGAGGGAAAATTTTATATTGAAGCATTTAGCTATATATTTTGTAAAATTATTAAACCAGCTGTTTTAAAATAATTTAAAAGGTAGAAGATGATATTTTTCAACACTTCTGTGAAGAAATTGGTGTGGAAAATATTCGTGAATTTGAGAACAAACATGTTAAACAGCATCAAGAAATGGATCAAAAACGGTATTTTTATTAAAAGATGTTTGCAAACAGCTCACATGCATATAAAAGTAATAAATATTATTTCATAATTTAGAGGAATTATGCCTGAGGTAATTTTTATTTCAGTTCTTCCAGAAATAGCTAATAAAAATTCATATTCTTCCATAGAGATCTAATTCTTTCATTCCATAATTTATTAAAGAAATCTCAGATATACAATATCAGAGAATGGGGACATAATTACACTTGCACTGGTAATTAGAAGAATAATGTGACACTAATTTGCTTGGTTGTCTGTAAATATCCATATATGCAGATAAAATTGATAATTTTCAATAAATAATGTATTACCAAAAATTTCCCTAAACAAGATTAGAAAAATCGAAGGATGCCAGCTACCAGAGGAAAAGAAAGTATAAATTCTTCCTTCCCACCACATCCCCACATGCACCAAGCTCACATGGTTGCACAGGTGATTCATCCCAGCAAAATTTAAAGGCACAGGTAACTTCAGTGTTTATCGTTTAAACAGATGTTCAGTATTTGAACTGTTTCAGCATGTAGAAGAAGAAATGCATTTTTTATGGAATAAACATAATATTGATGCCAAAATTTAAAAAGGTACACATATATAAGAAACTAAAAATCAATCCTACCTGTAAATATTCAAATAAAACACGGTTAAATAGAAACCAGGAGTACAACAACAAAATGAATATACCATTATCTAGTGGATATCCGAAATATAAGGATGGCTCAGTATCACAAAATCTATCACTGTAATTCACCATGTTGATGGTCAAAGGAGAAAAATTACATCATCAACTCTAGGGATGATGAAAAAGGTACTTGACAAAATTCAACATCCATTCCTGATTGAAAAATCTTTTAGTGTGAACAGTTAGATTCCTGTGATAAGACAAAATACATCTCATTCGAAATCAGCATTGTGGTTTCGTGAAGTAACACTAGAGGTGTAAAAATCAGAAACAAAGGATACTATCTACTACCGCCACTGTTATCTAACATTTTTCTGGAGATACTTGTCAATAGAGCTAGACAGGAAAAATAAATAAGGTATAAAAATTTGGAAAGAGGAGGTAGACTCATCATTGTTTGCAGGTTATATCATTTATATCTGGAAAACCCCAGAGAAGAAATGAAAAACCATTAGAAACAAAATAATTCAGTCATGTGGCTGGATATAAATATTAAGATGAAACATTTTAAAAATTAAAAATACATAATTATTAATTCAAAAATTAATAGTCATTTTATATACAAACTACCTGTAACACAGAATATTGGGAGAAACTATACCAATCGTATCCGGGTAAAACAGTAAAGTACATTTAACTAAGAAATAAACTTACCAAATATGAAAAAATATATTTAAAAAGCCTTAAACAAGAATGCAAGATATGAACAGAAATGTGAACATAAAAGAAAGGGATACTAGTTCTTTTATAGTTAAAGTGAATATTATAAAGAATTTGGTTCTCCCTAAATTACTATAAAACTTAAATATCACATTAATACATGGATGGACAAATTTTTTTTAACTTTATAAGTGATTCTAAAATTGACATGTAGAACTAGCCAAGAAAAATCTGAAAACGGTAATGAGAAAGGATTGGAACTCCCAGGTTTTAAAACAGTGTAAACCTTGTGGTACTGGCTCATAAATAGAGTCCAGAAATATGAGGAGAAATTTGATATTTTACATGAATGGAGAAAAGATACACTCTTCAATTAATCATGTTGGGATACATGTGGCAGGAACCTGGGAAAAACATGCTTGGATCCGTATCTCATTCTTTAGGATCACACTAGTTCCAGCTGAATCAAATATTTTAATATAAAAAAATGAAGACATAAAAATACTAGAAAAAGTCATAGGAGAATTTAAAACAACAAGGCCTTATTAGGGAAGGCCTTTGAGTATGACATAAATCCCAGAAGCCATAAAAGAAAAATTGACAAAATGCAAATGCAAAGAAATTAAGAAAAAAAAATGTGTGGCAGAAGCACTGTGAAGAAATGAGAAGATAAGTGATACTCTGGTGGAAGTAAACATGCCATCTGTTGAGAAATAGTAAGAGTGGCTGCCACTGGGGAGGTTGAAAGCATAGAAAAGAGACATTTTCCTTTTTGTATATCCTTATACCTTTTGAATTTTGTACCATATATATTATATATTCAACTATAACATTTAAATCTAAAAGTAGCATGTGCCTCTTGGAGAAAATAGAGAAAACTTCCCATTGTCCAAAAATACAAACTGTTGACATTTTGTCCCACTTCCTTGTATTTTTTCTCTATAATTCTTTTAATCTTCATTTATTTAACACATATTAACTATGGAAATATCTGCCAGGCACCCTTCTAGGCACTGAGGATAGTGGACCAGAGAGATCAAGCCCATGCCTGTTCTAAGTCCTTTGCATTTCCATGTACATTTTAGGATCAGGTTTTCAGTTGTTGTAAAATACCTGCTAGGATTTTGATTGGGATTGTGTTTAACCTATAGATCAATCTGGAAAGAATTGACATCTTCAAAATACCAATTCACGAACATGGTATCTATCTTTATTTAGGTCTTTCTTAATTTCTCTCATTAATGCTCTTTAGAGTCTTTCTGATAATAGCCACCAAAAATTTTTAAAAAATGATCTTTGGTTTTCAGTGTACAGGTCTTGTGCATGTTTTGTTAACATTTATTTGTAAGTATTTCATATCTTTATGCTGTTGAAATGGAATTGTTTTAAAATTTGAATTTAAAATTGTTTGTTGGTAGGATATGAAAAGAAAATTAGGTTTTGTATCCTGAAACCTTTCTAAATTTATTTATTATTTTTGGTAGCTCTTTTGTAGATCCTTAGGATTTTCAGACTATCAATAGATAGTAATATAGTCAGTGAATAAAAATTTTTATTTCTGCCTTTTCAATTAGAATAACTCATTTCTTGTTCTTGTCTAATTGTACTTGCTAGGACTCCAGCACAAGGTTGAATAAAAGTGGTGTGAGTAGACATCCTGCCTCATTCCCTTTCTTAGCAGAAGAATATTGTCTGTCTTGGTTGGGTGTATGAATTTTAGAATGTCCTTTATCAGGTTGAGGAAGTTCTCTTCTATTCCTACTTCACGGACATTTTTGTCGTAAATGAGTGTTGAGTTTTGTCAAATACTTTTTCTGGTATCTATTGAGATGATTGTATGGTTCAGTTTTTTGTTTTTGTTTTTGGTTTTTTTTAGTTTCTTAATAGTAAGTACATATAATAGTAAATTCTACTGATTGATTTTGGAATGTTAATCCATCTTACATGCCTGGAGTGCACCCAAAATGATCATGGTCTTTTCGTATGCATTTTGGGTTTGTCTTGTTAAAATTTTGTTAAGGATTTTTACATGTATACTTATGAGTGCACTGATCTGTAGGTTTTTTTTGTTTTTTTTTTTCCTTGTATTGTCTTTGTCATGTTTTGGTATCAACGTAATGCCAGGCCCATAAAATGAGCTGGGAATTGTTCTCTTCTTTTTCTGAAGGAGTTTGTATAGAATTGGAATTGTTTCTTCCCTAAATACTCCGTAAAATTTGCCAATGAGGCACCCTGGGCCATTCACCTTTCTTTGTGGGAAGGCTTGTGGTTTGGTTTGCTTTTTACAGTTTTTAATTTTACTAGCATTTCTAATTTATATCTAATAATATACTTTTCTCATTTAGAACAATAAATCTTTTTTAAAAATTAATTTTCCATTAATAATAATAAATGCAAGACTACTGTTAAAAATAAGATTTCTTGAATTTAAAAAGTAAGTGATTTAAAGAAATAAGCCATAGTACAGGCTATACTGGAAAGGTTTTCAATAACGAATTTTCAGTTTCCTTTATAGACATAGTACAATTCTGGTTATTTTCTTTCTGTTGGCGAGCTGTGGTAGTTTGTGTTTTTCGAGGAATTTGTGCATTTTATCTGTGTTGTCAGACTTATTAACAAAATTATTAATAGTATTCTCTATCCTTTTTAAAGTCCTCAAGGTCTATACTGATGTGCTGTCATTTCTGATATTTGTGATTTGTCATCTCTTACTAATATCTGCTAGAAATGTATCAGTTTTATTGATCCTGTATAAGAACAGGTCGTGGTCCTACAATTTCTCTGTGGATTGTCTGTTTCTATGATATTGATTTCTGCTGTTGAATGTTTCCTTCCTAATACTTATTTAGTTTTAATTTATTCTTCTTTTTTGGCTTTTTAAGATGAAAGCTTACATTACGTATTTTAGAATTCTCTTCTAATATAAGCATTTCGAACTATGTATTTCCCTCTAAATAGTGTTAAGCTGAATCCCACAAATTTTAGTATGTTGTATATTCATTTTCATTCTGTTCAAAATAATCTCTAATAACCCTTGTGATTTTTTCTCTATATTCCGGTTGTTTAGAAAGAAGTATGTTGTTTAAATAAATATTGGCAAGAGGAGGGGATTTCAAATATATTTCTGTTACTGATTTTTAATTTAACCCCATTTAGGTAAATAATATATTCTGCATTATTTCTATCCTTTTAAGCAGATTGAGGCTTGTTTCATGGCCTGTCATGTGGTCTATCTTAGTGAATGTTCCATATACACATGAAATGTGCTGGATGGAATATTCTCTACTTGGCAGTTAGGCCAGGTAGGTTGGTGTTGCTCAAGTCTTCTGTGTACTTAACTGATTATCCGTCGAGTTGTTACGGCAGTCACTAAGAGCAGAGCTTTGAAATTTCCAAATATACAAAGGTACTTCAAACAATTCAAGGAAAAATAGAATTAAAAGATAATACTAAACTTTCCATGACCTATTTGAAGTACCCTCATACTTCTGGATCTGTCAATATCATCTTCTAGTTTTGTCAGTTTTTACTTAATGTTTTTCAAGCCATATTATTAGGTGCATACATACTGGGGATTGTGATGACTTTCTGATTAATTAATCTGTTTATCATCATAAATTGACCCCTCATTTCCCCTGTCATATTCCTTGTTCTGAAGTCAACTTTAAAATACAGTAGACTTTCTAAAGAATTCTGCCTACCACAGTGTTTACTGAGTTTCTCATAAAAGTCTAACTGGAATTCTAATTGAAATTACATTGGATATATAGATTTATTTGAGGAGAAATGATATCTTAAAAATATTAAGTAATCCCATTTTAGAAAATAGAATGACTCTCCAATTATTCTAATCATCTATATCCTTTATTATAATTTTAAAATATTTTTCCATAGAATCTGTTTATTTATAGGTTTTATTCTTGTGAGTAGTATTCTTATAATATTTTATAAATTTTTATAGTTGATTTCTACTGTTGTAGAAAAATGGTCTCAAATTTCAGATTGATCTGACATCTGATAACTTTGTTAAACCAACTTATTAATTCTAGCTTATCCATTGTGTATCCCAGGTATTAAGCTTGAGATGTCTGTGATATCCGATTGGAGGCATAGAATAGGCAGTTGAATATACAAGTCAGGAGTTCAAGGGAGACGATCAGGCTAGAGGTATAAATTTTGGCATTGTCAGTATACAGATGGTACTTAAAGTTATGTTATTAGATGAGAGCACCAAGGGAGTGAATATGGATAGAAAAGAGAAGTGATCCCAAGAGATAGTGACAAGTTGAGGAGATGAGCAAGAGCCTTTAAGGGAGCAGCCAGTAAGGCGACAGGAAAGCCAGAGTAGTGTCATGTTCCTGAGCCAAGTGAGGAAGTATGATGATTGCTAAGTTCCAACTTGGATGACTGGTGACGGTAACTGGTGTGGTCAGAGAGTAGGAGTAGAATTCTGCTGACTCCCTGAGTGTGTCACGCCTGGCTCCACCACTCCCTAAGTGGGTGTCATTGGGCAAGTTACTTAACTCACTGTGCCTTGGTCACCTCATCTGTTAAATAGGGTTGGTAGTATTACTTACCTCATATGATCACACAACTTAAGAGAGTTCATTGACGTAAAAGCTTTTATAACTGTCAGGCATCTAGTATCTCTCATTAGATATTACTGTTTGTTTGTATTGTTGTTCTTATCAGCAGTATCTACCACAATATTTGCCATAGTGCTTAAGATGCTTCTTGAACACATGATTCTGTGAGCAGAATATGTGAAGGAGAAGGGAGGGCAGGATGAGCTACAGCTGACATTAGAATTCCTTATGAAGAGTTTGTGAAGCTTGGAAAGTAGGAAAGTGCATCAGGATGGAACATGTTCTTAAGTTCCCAAGTTTGGATTTATGTCAGAATAGCTTTTCAAAAAGACTGACTAAATAATAAGAATAAAAACATAAGCTGTAATTTAAAGAAAAAGAATTGAGGGAACCCATACATTACAAAAGATGTAAGAAATATATCAGCTGTATGCAATGTGTCAGTCCTGATTCAAAGAACCAGTAATTTTTTAAAAATTAATGAGACTATTGGGAATTTTGGCAATGATAGAAATTTGATATTACGGAATTATCATTTCTTATCTGTAAGTTTGTGATTATGAATTAAAATTCATTTCCCTTTCAGAGATACATACGAAAATATTTACAGATGAAATTACATGAGGCCTGGTGGGAAGTGGCAGTGAGTGTGGTTATAGATGAAACTAGGTTGACCAGGAATTGATAATTATCACAGTTGAGTGAGAGGCCATGGGGGTTCATTACAGTATTCCTTCTAGTTTTGTATTGCTTTGAGACTGCCATAAGGGAAAGTTAAAAAATCAAAGCACTCTGCTTACCAATTATAATGGTTGACTTTATTATACTAAATTAGAATTTGAAAAACAAAAAACTCAGCTTAATATTCACCTGGAATATAGTCATGGTCAGCTTAAGGAGAAACTGCATAAGGTCAACGCGTTAAGAAAAGACATCCAGAAAAGTAGAGAAGACATCGATAACCTAAACAAGGTAATAATGGGTGGCTGAAGTGCCTCTTTATTGAAATTATAATGTCCTTCCTTGAGTAAACGTGTCGAGCTCCTGAAGGTCCCTAATTGTGATAGAAGAAGTTGGGGGTGTATTTGAAAAAATACTTGAAATCAGGAGAGCTTCATGGATTATGGGATGTTGAAGTTTGAGGGAGGGCAAGGGGGGACGCTCCTGATGATTGCTAAGTTCCAACTTGGATGACTGGTGACGGTAGGATCAGGTTAAGGAGAGAAAACTCTGGACCGGTGGAGCTTGAATTGCCTTTATACCATCTAGATGGCAGTTTCCAGCACGTAGTTAAAGAGTATGTATATAAGGGGAGAAATCTATCTAGTCTGGAGATTCAGATTTGGGAGTTGCTGGTTTATGGGAGTCCATTGAAACCATGTGAGAATGGCTGAGACTCCCAGGCAGGGAGGCAGGTAGTGAAGAGCAGTGAGCAACGATGGGATTCTGGAAGATTCCTAGTTAGGATAGGAAGAGAGCCAGAAGAGGTGGTATCACAGAAGCCCCAGAGTTTCAGGAAGAAGGACGTGAGGAAGGCTGTCGGAAAGGTACAGCCTGGAAAATTTCTGTTTAATTTCCTAATCGAGGCCATAGCAAGACCCACTTTCACTGGACAGTGGGAACAGAGGTCAAATGGCCGTGAGCTGAGGAGTGAATCCAAATGAAGGACGGAGGCAGGTAGTGATTACCAATTCCCAAAAAGCATAGAATGAGAGTGTGGCACAATCTATAATAGAGGTTCAAGCAGCACACAGAATAATGAAATGGCTTGGTTTTATTGGTAATACGGTAACCTGTTGACCTTATTCGCATAAAAGATGGTAAATCTACAATGCAGATCCTCCCCATTCAGGCTGCAGAAAACTGTTGGCAAATCCTGGATGAACTCATGGCAAAGCGGCAGCAACTTAAAGACGTATTTATCACTCAGAATTCCAACACTGACACAGTTCAAACTCAAATTGAAGAGGAACGGAAGAAGTTTTTGGCTGTTGAAAGGTAATTAATAATTGATCAATTTCAAAGACCTAGCCAGAGTTTAAACATGTATACCATTGATATGAAATTTCAAACATTCTGGGTTTGGTTTTTTTGGCATCTGGCTGGAATGGGGATCCAAACCCTTTGGTGTTATAACACCATGCTCTGACCAACTGAGCTAACCAGCCAGCCCAAATGTTCTAATTTGGGGGAAAACCAAGAGAGGTGGTTAGTTGTTTAGAGAAAATAATTCTTTCTGGTGTATAATCCTTTTTGGTGGATGAAAACATGAACCTGTATAGAGTCCCTTACCTTCAATCCCTCTTGATACTGGTATCTTCCTGCTGTACAGAGATTCCCTGTAGTCTGTGCAACAAAGCACACAGGGTCAGAGAGTAGAATGTAGAGCCACACTGCCTGGTGTCACGTCCCAGCTCTGCTACTTACATACTATGCCTTACTTTCCTCATCAGTAAAATGGGATAATAATAGTGCCTACCTTATAGAATGCAGTGAGGATTAAATGAGTTAATATTCATATGGGACTTAGAATTGTGCCTGGAACACGATGAACATACATCTGCCATGATTGTGATGACACTTTGAA